CGTGTGACATCACTGCTGAGCGTGTGACATCACTGCCGAGCATGTGACATCACTACCGAGCGTGTGACATCACTACCGAGCGTGTGACATCACTGCTGAGCGTGTGACATCACAGGCAGCGTGTGACATCACTGCCGAGCGTGTGACATCACTACCGAGCGTGTGACATCACTGCTGAGCGTGTGACATCACTGCCGAGCATGTGACATCACTACCGAGCGTGTGACATCACTACCGAGCGTGTGACATCACTGCCGAGCGTGTGACAGCTGGCGTGACATCACCGGTGGGTGGGAGGTGACTTGTGAGGTACTGGCATGAGATGGGTGGCGATGTCACTGCTGGACAGGTGACACCATACAGGTGCATGTGACGTCACTGCTGGGTGTGTGACGTCATGAAGGTGTGTGTGATGGCTGGAGTGACATCATTCCACTGCGTGTGACTGTGGGGGTGACATCATACAGGCATGTGTCACATCACTGGTGCCGTGTGATGGTACGTGTGATGTCATGCAGGCACACATGACATCCCTGGTGGACGTGTGACGTGTGTGACATCATACAGGCATGTGTCAGATGCTGTCATGTCACACACACATGGTGGCATCATAGCTTCTGACAGGGGCTGTGACATCATGGTCATGGGGTGTGACAATACGTGCATCACGATCTCACCTCATCCTGAGGACCTTGGCTGGTGCACTGTGACATCACCCTGCCCTGTGACATCACCCTGCCCTGTGACATCACCCTGCCCTATGACATCACCCAGAAGGTTGTGGGACATCCCTCCCCACCTCGAAATCCGCAAAAACTCACCCAAAGCGCCAATGCTGGGCATTTCAGCAGCTTTTAATCAGAAAACCCCTAAAAAAGTGTGTGTGTGTGTGTGTGTGTGTGTGTGTGTCCATCACCCAACCCCCACTTTTAATGCTCTTTTATGAAAAATCCCTCATTTCATCTGATATATAGATAAAGAAAAAAATAATAATAAGAAGGGGATTCCCCTGAGGCAGGGCTGGGGCTGGTTTGGGGGGTGATATTTATGGGGAGACTCAGTCCCTCCAAACCCAGGGAGCCCCTGCACCCATTAAACACGCCCACGATGAGTCCAGCTGCTCGAGGCATCTGTTGAAAAGAAAAGAAAACCCAAAAAGGGACAAAACCACCCCAGGAACAGGGAGTGGGGTGAGCTGGCTATGGACACCCCTGTTTTTTTGGGGGAGGTGCTCACACCAAGGAGCCAGCTCGGCTCTGCGCTGGCACCATGACAGGAACGGCACCTGCTCGTGCCAGGCTGGAGGGAGGCAATGACCCCACGGGAGCGGCGGCTGGATCCTGGCGGCGCCGGGGGGTCCCATTAACGGCGGGGGGTGAGAGGTTGGGGGGCCGCCCTCCTCCCCGGGGCGGGGGTCCCCGGTAGCTGCCGGTGGTGGTGAGGATGGAGGCGGTGTCGGAGGGGGCTCTGGCTCCGTAGGGTTGCCGGGTGCCGGCGATGGAGGACAGGGTGCTGGTTTTGGACATGGTGTCTGAAGCTGGTCTCCTTGCCCATGACGGGGTTTTGGGTGCCACGGCGTCTTCCCTGCCAAGAGGGGAGAGTGTCAGAGAAATCGGCTCTGGGAACCCTTCCACTGCCCACCCCAGCACACTCTCCCTGAGCAATGAGGTTGTGCTGATATCCTGGACCTCCAAACAGAGCGATAAAAGGGAAAGGGGAAAACAGAGGTGGAAAATGCCCTCGTTAACTCTGAAACCTAATGATGACTGGCCAGAGGTGGAAGCTTCCTTCCTGACTGCTACCTCTGGAGCATATTGATGACTGCCCAGAGATCAAGAACTATTCCCCACTATTAACTCTGGACCTGAGAAATGACAGGCCAGAGGTGGAAACACCCTCTTCACGCATTAACACTGAAACCTAATGAAGATTTGAACCCCCTCCACAGGAAGAGCGCCTCACTTGATCTCGTTGGCTCCCTCCTCCTGGCTGTCACGTTTTTTCCTCCTGTAGCCGACAACCTTCTGGGCAAAGAAGATGATGGTGGCAAGGGCACCCAGGGAACCCAGCACAGCGCCGGCTATGACTGCTTTGGTGCTTGCTGCCAGAGAGAGACAGATATTCCCTCATTCCCTGATGTCCACAGGGAGCTCATGTGTCCCCCTCCCCGACCCTGTGGACACGTACTCACTTGAGTGTACCTCCAGGACAATGCTGCAGTTCTTAGAACCTGCTTGGTTTTCAGCCCTGCAGACGTAGACCCCCGACATTTCCAGGGAGAGGTTGGTCAACTTGAGGGTGCCCCTGGCCCGGTCTGTGGGTGAGAAATTTGAGAGCTGCCTCACAGCCACCCCCACATCCTGCACCTCCTCGTGTGGGAAGTGGTTAAGGGGATGAAGCCAAAGAATCCCTCAGCTGAATCTTCTCAAGATATTTCAGCCCAACCACCCACCCCACTCCCCAGCCCCACACTGGTGCCCCCTTACCCTGGGCAGGGGGAAAGAAGACCTGCAGGGTGGGCGGCTCACGCTGCCACTGGTACATGGGCGAGGGCTTCCCCTTCTTGGAGGAGCAGCTCAAGGTCACGTTGGCCCCCACGATGGCGCTGCCGTGCAGTTGGCAGGTGGGGGCAGCCGGTGGCACTGTGGGCACTGATGTTAGTCCTGAGGGCCACCATGGGGAGGTCCAAGGGAGCCAGGGTGACTGGCACAGCCTTACCAAGGACGGTGAGGTTGATGATGCCGACGTTCTTGTCCAACCTGATGGTGTCATCCACCACGTTGACGGAGCACATGTACTGGCCTGAGTCTTGCTCCCGGGTGGCGTTGATGAACACTGAGATGTTGTGGGTGAGGATGGGGTACAGGAACCCCATGCGGGTCTTTAGATCCGTCTCCTCCACCTTCACCACCCCGCCCAGGTATGACAGGATCTGCACAGAATAAAACACCTGCTTTCACTTCTGGAAGGTGTTGCTGGAGAGAAAAGCCCCCCCAGATCCCAAATTTCATAGAGCAGTGGTTGCTATATAAGCCCCCTCCAGCCCCCTCCCTGAGCATCCTGGACTTGGGAACTGCAGGCAGCTCCCCACCACAGGCACAAATACCCCTGGCATGGGCACCATGAGCAACTGTCCCATCACAGGCATCTCCCCATCAGGGGCACCACTTGGGCATTGTCCCATTGTAGGCACCATGAGCATCCTCCAGGGGTATTTCCCCATCATGGGTATCTCCCCATTGTGAGCATGACACCCCCCTACTGCAGGCACCCTGGGCATGCCCCCAGTGTGGGCATCTCCCCTCATGGACACAATGAGCACCTCCCCACCGTGGGAACCTCCAGATCATGAGGATGACAATCATCTCCCCGCTGTGGACACCACAGACACTTCCTCGTATTGGCATCACCCCCTCTTAGATCTCTCCCCATCTTCTGTCTCTCCCCACTCTGGGCACCACAAGCACCTCCCTCCAGGCACTGTGGGCATGACCCCATCATGGGCATCTACACATCACCATGAGCACCCCCCATCAAGGGCATGCCCCCATGGTGGCCACCATGAGCTTCCCCCATCATGGACACCACCTCATCATGGGTGTGACAAGCAGCTCCCCATGGGTATGGCGATGGCACCATGGGTATGTCCCCATCATGGGCACCATGTCCCACATGGTGGGCACCTCGAACTTCACTCCATCATGGGCCAAGTCTCCACCATGAGCACCACAATCATGTCCCCACCATGGGAACCACACAAATCTCCCTGTGGAGATCCCCACCGTGACCATCTCCCTGTCATGGGCACCATGTCCTTACCATGGGCACTTACCCATTGTGGGGATCTTCCCCACACTGGCACCATGACCTTCATCCCATCATGAATGGTGGGCACCATGGAATTCCCTGCATCATGGCCACCTCCCCATCGTGGGCATCCTTCCACCATGGGCAGTGTGCTCACTACACCATGGTGGGCACCATAATCTTCCCCCCATCATGGGCACCACCAGCACCCCCTCCATGGCCACATGGTCACCTCCCAGCTTAGGCCTCCCGCATCTCCTGTCCTGCAGCCCCTCCCCTCTTCTCACCTGGAAGGGACCTGCATTCTTGTTCAGCATCCAGGTGATGTAGGGCTTGTTCCGGGAGTGGCTGGTGTACCAGGCAGGCAGCACCGCCTGCTGCCCCTCCACGGAGAACACCAGGCTCGTCCCCACATGCACCTCCAGCACGGCCAAGGAGACACCTGCCCATGGGAGAGGGAAGAAACTGGGAAATGACTCAACCCCAGGTGCTACTTCTCTACAAAACCTCACTGACTGTGAGAAAAAACCCCATTCCCAAGACAAAAAAACAATCCCAGGTTATCACCAGGAAGCTGGGCCAGAAGAACATTCTGCCTCCTTCCCAGGCACAGGAAGGGCTTTCCGCCTGCTCGGGAGGATGCAGGACATTGCTGTTCCCTCCCATCCCAGCTTCCGCCCCACGTTCAGCCTGGGAATTCCTAAGGCCCAAGTCACCCCTGGGAGGAGACAGCTGCCTCCAGCAGGCAGACACCCCCTTAGCTCAGTATTGGGGTACTCCCAGCCCCCATGATGCTGCACCAGATCCCATGGGATTTATTTGTGGGGCTCCCACACACACACCCCAGCCTTCCCCAGCATAGCAGCACCCCCCTTTTTGCTGCCAGCACTAAATTGGGATAATCCATGAGTGGCTTCCTCTGTTACCCCATCTCATTTGACCCCAAATCCCAATCCCCTGCATCCCAGCCTCCCCTCAGGCCCCACTGGGAGGAGGCAATGGTGTAATGGACCAGAGAGGGATGCTCCACTCCTGGGAGAAGATCATTCCCCAGCTTTGCCCCTAAGGCTCAGCCAGAACATTAATCAGCTCGGGTGAGGCTGAGTTTGTGCTGGGCTTGGTTTGTTTTTCCCAGGGGAACATCACCGAGGCCCTGCATCCCAGCAGTTCCATCCCTGCATCCACCCATCGATCCGTGACCCCGGCTGGCCCTGCTCCTGCCAGCGCCCCAGGGATGCTTCGCACTGGGATGCGGGGGGAAAAGGATGATGCTACCCCGTCATCCCAAATCCTCAGTTTTGGGGGAAAAACTCCCAGGTTTGAAGGATTTCGGGAGCTTTCAACAATCTTTCACTTTTCACTAAGAGCTCAGAGGATTTAATTGGATTTTTCCAGGGTGGGAAGAGGAAAACAAGGCGCTGGGGGGTATTTTTAGCTTCCTCCAGCATCCGTTCATCCCCCCCTCCTGGCAAGGCATTGGTGCCATTTCCGGACGGAGCCTTCCAGCTCCAGGCAGGAAACTCTGCTCCGGCTGATAAGTCTTCTCAGGAATTAAAAAAAAATAATTAAATTTCCTTTCTCTGGTGAAAAACTGGGAGAAATAAGGCCCAGTCTGGTGAGGATGCGTAAAAATAGCTCACCCAGGCTAAGAACATAAACCTTTAAATCCTGGGGGGTTTGCGGGGGGGAGATGCTGGGGGTGCCTGCAGGTCCCAAATAATTGATAATATTATTTATTAATTATATAAAGCTGTGGCATCAGATCCAATAGAGAGTATGAAAAAAATAATGGTAATTATAGTGTATTTCTATGTAATTATACAGATAATTGTATTAAATTTAGAGAAAGTGGAAAGAAATATGGGATGGCGACTCATTAATTTGGAATTTCCAGAACAAAATAGATCATCAAGAACATATAATTTATAATAGTTATAAATATAGGTATATTTTTGTAAGAATAGGGATAATAGTGGGGATGTGAGAGTGATAATAAAGCTCAGAATAATGAGAGTAATGATCAAAGTGAGAATAATAATTATAAAAGTGGGAATAATAATTATAAAAGTGATATTAATAATGATAATAATAATAATGGTAATAGTGATTAGAATAATTTTAACAATGATCCCAATACAATAATGATAACAGTCATAATAATTATAATAGTGATAATAATTATAATACTGATGATGATAATAATAATAATAATAATAGCGATCAAAATTATACAGTTCATTAATTATGCAGATGGCACCTAAACCTCCCTGCATTCCCAACAGCTGGGAAAATCCAGGTGTTTTCAGCCCAGATCCTCCATTACTATAAAAATGTGTTAACTTGGGATAATCTAGAAGAATATAGATGATATTGAATAATTGTATTGCAATTTCTATTAGAAATATTAGAGATAACAGGTAACAGATATTTTAGAATAATTATAATTTAATAAAAATAATTGTAAGTTATGATAGTTATAATAACATATCAGTGATTATAAAGATAATAGTAATAAATGAGTGATGATGATAATAATAATAATAATAATAATATTTTCATAATATAGATCATTAATGATGCAGATGGCATCGATAAGTGACTCCACAGCTTCTACACCCCTGTGCATCCTCAACAGCTGGGAAAATCCATGTTTTTCAGCCCACCTCCTCCATCAGCACGATTTTTTGGGCACAAAAAAAGGTGCTGGGCATTCCTGAGGAAATCCAGGCTCCAGAGAGGGAAAAGATGTTCTGGCACCAGCCAGAGGTTTCCTGGCGTGCCCCAAGGCATTAAAACAGCCCTGTGTGCCTCAAAGCTGCTCCCAGCGCTGCAAACCAGGCTGTGTTAACTCTGAAACCTAATGATGAGCACGTTAATTATGTTAATTGTGCTCTGGAGCTGCAGCTTTGCTCTGTCATCCTTAAAACTCCTGTGGCAACAGGAGATCCCAGTTCCATCATCTCCCCTCCGGTGTATCGGGGAGATGGAGATGGATCCAGATCTGAAGGCTGCTCGCTCCCCAAAATCCCTTTTTTCTTGCAGAATTCACCCAAATTCCCCATCTCACACAGAAGTGACCCTAAAAAAGGCTGGTGGAGCTGGGTCTGGAGCTGCAGGCACGGGACTGAACCCCCTGGCACAGCTCTGGCTTTGGCCACCTCGACGCTCCAAATCCTCTAATGCTTTAACCAGATCGAAAAAATTAAGCCGCTCGCGGTGCTCATACACATCCAGGGGGGGCCTGGGGCCCTCAGCCCCTCCCTCCTGCTCTTTGGGCTCAAAACCTGGATTTTTATCCAGCTGCCCTGAGCTAAACACCTGCCCGGGTGTTTTCCCCCCGCCCCAGCCCATCTGCTGGGATTTTTTTGCATATGGAAAAACAGAATAGACTTAAATTTACCTTTAAAAATAGCGATTTTTTTTTTTTTTCCCATGGAATAAATATCTTACAATTTAGCTTTCTGAAATACTTTAAATTTTCCCACGACAAAAAAATAAAAAGCTGCTTGAAATTTCCCTTCGAATTTTTTCCCTATGGAAAAAAAATCACCTTTAAATCCCCGCAATCTTAACATTAATCCCTGTGCTGATATCAATCACCCTATCCTCATCTAAAATTGCATCATTTCACCCCAAAATAAAAGCTGTTTCCAACTTCTGGCACAGCCTGAACCTCCCCAAAAAATCAAACTCTCCCTCCAGCCCCCTCCCCGAGTCTCTAAACCATTAACTGTACGGGGAATTAAATCCCGGAGGCGGTTGGGGTTTGATGACCCCAGTTGATAGGATTAAGGCGCTGGAGTCATGTGAAACCCAGACCCAAATTAAATCCCAAAAGACCAAGCTTGGGATTTAAAATACACAGCGGGAATCTGGCCGGAAAAGGGACCCTTGAAAAAGCTTGGAAAAAGGTCAAGGAGCATCTCGGCACTGCGACACAGACTGGTCGCCTTCCATGTTTTTACATCATTTTTTGGGGATTTTTTTCCTTTTCTTCCCTTAACTTTGGCTATTTATAAACGGGCAGATAGGAGATGCCGGGCTCTGGAGCAGTGTCCTTTGGGAAAATCCACAGCGGAATTTCTCACGACCCCGGGGGCGGGCAGGGGGGGGGAGCAGAAAGTGCCGTATCCTCCAGAGAGACCAAATTTGGGGAAAAAAAATTAAATAATACAATAATCATATGTGACTTTGCTATAGATGGAAACGTGCTTCACCCCGGTGTGGGGGAGAGAGGCGGAGATGGGGTGGGGATGGGATGGGGAATTGGGATTGAGGAAGGGATTGGGGTTGGGATTGGGGATGGGAAGACAAATATCCCTCACTTTGCTTTTCCCCATCACAAGCCCATGAGGATCCCACGGGACGAGGAAGGACTGCTTGAAAGCAAAACTGAAGGAAAAACACACATTTGGGGTTCGAAAGGGTCTTTTTGCTGCATTTTTGAGCTGTCAGTGCCCGTGATGTCACATCCCAGGGCTCATGCGTGACTTTTTTTGTGGGAATCCATCATAATTCCATGCCAAAAATGCCATTGGGATGCGGCAAAGGAGCGCCCTGGTGGGATTTAAAGGCTGAGTGATACCAACATGCTTAATTCACTTTTATCACGGAAGAAAACCTTCAAGGAGGAACAAGTGGTGACTCCAGGACCCCCACCCAGTGTTCTGCTGGAAGGAAATGCTGCTGCCATTGTTTTTGGGGCCATTTCCTTTCTCCAAAGGCCTCTCCTTCGCTGGGAATGCCAAAGGATGTTTCCTTTAGGAACAATCATGGCAGTTGCAAAAAATCTCAAATAGGGTGGGAAATTAGGGGCAGAAGAAGGGAAAAACCCATGGACAGAGAAGGGTTGAGATCCCTCACCTCAAAACTAGCTGGGATGGCTGTGGAGCACCAGCAAACAAGGGAAAACAAATGGATTTTTCCTGCCCAATGCCACCCAGGGAGGTGAACTATGGATTCTCACATGGGAGTCCCTGGCGTGTTCCCATGTGGGGGAGCTTTGGGTTTGGGGGTGCTGGAAGCGGCTGTTTGGCAGCTCCAAGGCACAAATGACTTTTCCCGGGAAGACTCAGATTTTCTCCACTCCGGGCACTCCTAAAAGGGGAAGGGGGTGGATCGTCCCCCCCAGCCTGCCTGCTGGGGAAGGGGACTGGGGGCACGGAGACAGGTGGGTGTTGTGACCCCGGTACCCCATGGTCCTTCCCGGTGCCACCCTAAAGCTTCCCAGGCTCCTGCCCGCCGGTGTCGCGCTCCCGGGTTTCTCTCTTGGTGCCTCCGGCTGCTCCCACACCCTGCCCGGTGACCCCTCTCGATATCTCCGGGTCCTGCCCGATGCCCTCCCAAAAGCTCTCCCTGTTCCTGCCGGCTCCATCCCGCTTTTCCCGAGTGCCTCGGGGCGCCCCCCGCTACCCCCGGCTCCTGCCCCGTCCCCGCCGCGCTACCNCATCCCTCCCCCTCCCCACCTTCCCCTTCTCACAGCTTTGATTGTATCCATAAGCAATGGGTCGACAACAAAACAAATAAAAATAATAATAAGTTTTTTCCCAGCTGCCAGGTTATTCTCATTGAGAGTTTTGGAACTCGATTAATATTAAAGCAAAAAAAAAGGAAACTGAAAGGAGAAAAAGAAAAGACAAAAAAAAAAAGAAAAAAAAGGGTCAAAAGTAAAAATAGAAATCATAAAAAAAACAAAATTAAAAAAGCAAAAGAAAAAAGGAAAATGATAAATTTCAAAAAACAAACAAAAAAGACAAGATAAAATGAAGATAAATAAAGAAAATTAAAAAGAGGAATAGAGGAAAAAGAAAAGAGAAAAAGGAGAGAAAGAAGAGAAAAATAATGATTAAAAAAAGACCAAAATGGGGAAAAATTAATGAGAAAAAAAAAATAAAGAAAAAATAAAAAGGCCAGGAATTATTTTAATGTTAAAAAAATAAAATAAAATAAAAGCAGATATGGCAACGCTACTAAGGATGTGGAATACGTCACAGAACCCAAAGTCTTTGCAGGCAACACTGTTTGGAGAGAGGAGAACACTCGATGGTGAAAAAAGTGAAGTTCTAAATTATATACAAGATATCTAAGGGTGGCTTTGAAAAACAGTCCCCGGGCCGGGCGTTGGGGTTTCCCTCGCCGTTATCTATTGCTTATTGAGTCAGATCCACAGGAACACTCAGAGACGGATGCATCCAAATGAGACACCGTGGAATAAAGGAAAGACCAAACCCTCAGTTTCTGTATGAAAACGCCGTGTGGACGAGCCTGTCCCGTGTGGAATGTACCGAGAGTCGTCTGGCGGGCCGGGCGCTCCTCCTGCCGCTCCCTGGGGAACCGGCCAGAGCCGGGCGCGGCGCCTGGGGAGCGCCCCGGCGGCCTCCGCGCACCCCAAAACGCGCTTCCAGGCGGAAAAGTCCAGCGTGCCCGGATGTGAACGGACAGGATCCCAGTGAGATGGAAAATGGGGCGCAAAGCCCTGATCCTTATGAAGGATGGGACTCAGTTGTTAAATTTTAAGGGGTACCCGATGGCTTTTTCCAGGCACTCTACCAAAGAGCCGGCAGACAGAAAATCCCTCTCCACTTCCACAAATTTGATGTAGATGGATTTGGGTGAGACACCGGGCTCTACGACGCAGTTCTGAGATAAAAAGGCGTTGATCCCGACCCAATCTTTGCTGAAGGTTTTGGTGTTTGCCTGGAAGTGTAAAAACAGGCACTGCTGGAGAGTCCGGACCTCGGCGATGCCGAGGTAACAGTAGATAATCCGGGCAGATTCCATATCCACCCGAAGGGAGGCCTGTGGCGAGGGGACCTCGAGCTCCCCTGGAGTCTCATTGCCGGGGTCGGGTGCCCGGTGCTCGGCCAGAGGGGAGGGGAGTTTCTCGTGGCACTCCTCATATCCAATGGCGTACAGGCCAGGGCTTTTGGGGATCCCTCCTGGTAATAAATACTGCACCACGTTCCCTCCAGTGGGTTTGGAGTGAGCGATGGGAATCCAGTCGATCTCCATGTGCAGCTCCAAGCATCTGGCTTCGCTGATGGTGATCTCCAGGAATTTGTAATAAACATTTTTCCAGTTCATTTTCTGTACTCGGGTCATGATCACCCGACCCTCCGGTTTTTCCGAGTTGAAATATTCCCGGAGCCGCTTGCCGAGGGGCACCTGGGAGCTGATCTCTGCGTAGTGGTAACGGATATCCTCCTTCCAGCGGGTGTTGTACCCAATGCCAAAAATGGCCAGTTTGTTAGAAAGGTGGAGCCTGGAGAAGTCCGTCCAGCTCTGAAACAGCTCCCACTTCAACTGGACCGACTCCAAGATTTGCATGATGTTCTGCATGACGTCACGCTTCCTGGAAATTAAGGAGCAGGGAGAGAAGGATAAAGGCATCAGAGCTGAAAAACTTTCCCAGCGAATGCATCAACCTTCAGAAAACATTCATCCCCATCAGCTTTCCTGCCTGATTTTTCTTACTATTATATACATTTCTGGGGCAGTTTATGGGTTATTACAATGTCTTGATGGGGAAACTTTAAATTAATCTTGACAAAACAAAAAAAAAACCTGAACCCAAACTCCTACTGATATCAAAGCACCTCCAAGGAAGAATGTATCTGGCACTGCTGAATAAATACACATTCAACTACTGGGTCATTCTTTACAGTCCTGGGCTTCTGTCAGCACGTGGTCCATGAGCTGCATCCTGAACTCACAACTGCCACTCAAAACACTTCTGCCTCATTGTTATACCCAAATTAATGGCAGCAAGTGGGACTGTAATTGTAAAAATCCCAATGTGAGCATGAAGCCATTCCCAAGGGCTCTATCCTGGTGCTGGGGTCGAAACACAGCTCAAGGGACCAACCCCCTGGAGCAGAAAATGCCCCCAGACACATCTTGGATGCTGCAGGATGGACAGCAGCAATCCCTCCAGGCAGTCAATAAAGAAATCCCCACGCTCCCAAAAATCTGTTTTTGTTCCCAGCAGCAAGGTTTCAGAGAGGAGTTTACATCAGGAGAGAGCATCAGTGTGCACCTGCAGTGAGCTGGAAACGCTTCCTCCGGGATAAATGAGAGTGTTAGGGTGTAATTAGCCAGTAGGGAGAACTAATTTGAGGAGTTATTGTCCTATAATCAAAGCTGTAGGAAGATATTACAACTCGTTTGCTAACGGAGAAACCTCTCTTGGTCCAACAAAAGGGATGTAAAGGATCTTTCCATGCAACTCTCCTTCCTTTATCCATTGTGCCACATCTGGAAAGCTCAACTGTGGAGGCTGCTGCACTCCCAGGAGGATTTTCTCTCCTTCCACATCCCACCAGGAGGACATACTGTACCAGGCAACACAGGTTTTCTTCTGTGGGGCAAACCTCCCTCCTCCTGCAGGTTCCTCGAGATCACTTGAACTCTAAACCAGTGGAGTAAACTCCAAACTCCCAGTGGAGTCCAGCATCAGACTGGTGAGGGACACAAAGGTCTCTAAGGACAGATACAACACCCCACAACCAAGGCTGACTCTGGCACATGCATTCCTGCCCAGTAAATCCCTAGGGGGACTAGGTCTTTTTACATCATAATGTATAGAAAGGTTCAAAGAAAACCAGACAGGGAGCTGCAGAGCCTTCATGTGCTGCTGGAGAGGCCTCACTTTAGAACCTTTCATCCCAAAAAACTGCTTTTACAGGTCTAACTACAAGGCAAGTGATTCTGGCAAGGTTCTGCAGCTGCTGGGTGTCCTGCAGGTGATGGAGACCTCTGGAGCAGGCTGAGGACCCTGGGCTCGGGACACAGAGCTCTGGTTTGATGTGTGATGGTTGTTGCACACCTTCTGCAAATCCCATTTGTGCTGTCCAAGCCCCACCAAGCGTTCCTGAGCATCCAGGTTGGGACAGCTCCCTCCCCACAGTGACACCAGCAGCACATCCATCACCATCTCATCTATCCCAGCTGTCTTGTAGCACCAGCCATGTCAGAAGTTCCCTGAAAAGACCTTCAAAGGCATTTTGGGAAGTGCATTTCTACAACTGGAGTGCAACAGAGTTTCTAGAGCACTGAGGAGGGACAGGAGAGCAGAGCCCTGTCTGTGTCAGGGGTTCTTAATACTGCTGATTCCATCAGCACTGAAGTTCTGTTTCTTACTGCAAGTAATGCCTGAGGAGTCAGTTCCACTACCTGGCAGCAACAGAGAGAAATCCCAGACAAGAAGAATGTGTGTTTACCCCAAATCCATTCCATTTGCTCAAACAGTGCAGCAAAACTGATTTAAAACTTCCCTGATGCTTTGCCATGCTTGGAAAATATCATTTTGAGGCTTCTGGAAGTGTAAGTTTACCTTCTGGGCACAAGGGGGTAGGACAGGCAAGGGGACAGGGCAGTGCTGGAGCACAGTTTGGTGTCTCAGGCACACACGCTCGACTCCTGACGGCAGCTGAGCTCCAGTTATTCCCTTCCCAAAGCAAAGACAGGAGAGCACAGCGTGGGCAGGTTTTCATTCAACAGCTGAGGAGCAGAGTGAGGAACTGAAAGCAAAGCCCCCACCTTTATTAAGTGCACTATAAATACTCTGCTTGGTTTAGCTCGGCACAACCCAGAGCCCGAGCTCGGCTGCATTAGTCACTGCAGGGAAGGGGAATCATTGCATGAGAGCAGAGCTTCAGCAGCAGACAGAGAAAGCTTTTCCACAGGGAACCCACCACTTCCAGCACAGAGGAACACAGGGAAAGACAAATTTTAAAGAATTTTGCTTTTCAGGTTTAACATCTTGTTTTTGCTGGGACCTGACTTGGCTGAGCTTTGCCTTCTCAGGCTGTACCCAGGGTCTCAACAACTTAGCCAAGCAAAGGTATCATAAGCAGTAAAAATTACTACTATTTAATTATTTATTAATTTTAAATGTAATTGTTATTAATTCAACTGTTTAAAATTATTTATTAAACACGTACCTATGTATTTGCTTTATTTATATTGTTAATATGATTCATTTTTCAGGAGGACAACAGCAACTGAGCAGAGGGTTTAACCTGTTGTGTGTCTCATGACAATCTCACTTTTCAGCTGCAGAAGGTGCCCTAGAGCTGGATTTTCCCTCATCATCAAACCATCACCTCCCTCCTGGAGTCTGGGACCTGCATTTCTTCCTCCTCAGGAGCTTTTGCAATTCAAATGAGGAAAGACTTGAGACAAGAGTAGGCGCAAATTTGTTCTTAAGGCGCTGTTTCCAAACCAGGCAGACTTCAAAGAGCCCTGAACAGCTGCTTTCACTGAAGATCCACAAGCTTTCTCTAGTTCATCTTCCCAAAACCGGCAGTGAATCAAACCACTTCTCAAAGTCTCTAAGTAGTATTTAACTTTTCAAAACAGTTTATTTGGAGAAAACAGCCAAGGGCAGGCTACAGCAGAGCTGACATGGGGAAGGAGCATCCTGATGGAGGATGGGACATGGACACAGTTTACCTATTCCTTTTGCTTCCCATACTGTCAAAAATAAAGTGAAAGGTTGGAAGTCCCTGTGTCAGACACAGAACACTTGGGCCTGCAAGGGACCTAAAAAGCTCATCTCATTCGAACCCCCTGCCATGGGCAGGGACACCTTCCATTGTCCCAGGCTGATCCAAGCCCTGTCCAACCTGGCCTTGGGCACTGCCAGGGATCCAGGGACAGCCCCAGCTGCTCTGGGCACCCTGCCCACCCTCATAGGGAACAATTCCTTACCAATATCCCATCTATCCCTGCCCTCTGGCACTGGAAAGCTGTTCCCCCTCATCTTGTCCCTCCATCCCTTGTCCCCAGTCCCTCTCCAGCTCTCCTGGAGCCCCTTCAGGCCCTGGCAGGGGCTCAGCCTTCTCCTCTCCAGGTGAGCACCCCCAGCTCTCCCAGCCTGGCTCCAGAGCAGAGGGGCTCTGGTCTCTGCAGCATCTTTACCATGTTCCCCTGGAGTTCTTCTCTCAGTGTCACTTGGAGACACCCTGCCTCAATGGGGAAGCTGTGCTGTTGGGAAGTTGAGAGGAGATGAGGCTTCTGCCCTCTGACACCCAGGCAGGTCATACACGTGCTGTAACTGAAAGCTGTCCATAGGATCCATAAAGCTGCAACTGGTTTTTCCTCCCTGCTTCATACCTCACTTTTCCCCAGCCCTTTCGGTGTTTTGGTGCTCTGTTACACCTTGTCTTCATCAAGGCCTCCTTCATTCAATCATATTTATTAATTTATTATGTGGGAACCTGGTCCAGACATTCCCTAACCCTTGCTTTCTCCTTTGCTCACATCCATTCCTGTGCCCATAGCACGTGGCTACAGGAGCTGATGGCAAAAAACTGCCTTTTATGAGCACAACCAAACAGCACAAATATTAACCCAGCACCGCTGAGTGCAGCGAGTTCCCGGAGCCAGCGCTGCACCGGGTCCTTGGGGATCTGAGGAGAGAACCAGACACCAGTGCTGGGGTTTAAACAGCTCTTGGCTTTCACACAAACCTGCACTGAGACCTGCAGCAACGTGTTCGCCTTCCATGTGCTCCTGCTCCACAACTGAGGGACGCTGTGGAATCCAGAGGGATCAGGACAAGCTCAGACACAGACCTTGGGGAATCTCATGGGGTTCAACAAGGCCAAGGGCAGGTGCTGCACCTGGGTCAGGGCAACGCCCAGGATCAGTTGGGGCTGGGGATGAAGGGATGGAGAGCAGCTCTGGGAGAAGCACTTGGGGTTCTGCTGGGTGAGAGCTGCACAGGCCCTGGCCCAGAACCCCCCTGTGCTGGGCTGAGCCCCCGGCGTGGGCAGCAGGGGAGGGGGGATTCTGCCCCTCTGCCCCACTCAGGTGAGACCCCACCTGCAGAGCTGCCTCCAGCTCGGGGGTCCCAGCACAGGAAGGAGCTGGAGCTGCTGGAGCCAGGCCAGAGGAGGCCACGGAGCTGCTCCAAGGGCTGGAACCCCTCTGCTCTGGAGCCAGGCTGGGAGAGCTGGGGGTGCTCACCTGGAGAGGAGAAGGCTTTGGGAAAAGCTGGAGAGGGACTTGGGACAAGGGAGAATGGCTTCCCACTGCCAGAGGGCAGGGTTAGAAAGGATATTGGAAAGGAATCCTTCCCTCTCAGGGTGAGCAGGCCCTGGCACAGGGTGCCCAGGGAAGCTGTGTCTGCCCCTGGATCCCTGGGAGTGTTGAAAGCCAGGCTGGACAGGGCTTGGAGCCACCTGGGACAGTGGAAGGTGTCCCTGCCCATGGCAGGGGGTTGGAATGAGATGAGCTTTATGGTCCTTTCCAACTCAAACCATTCTAGAATTCTGCTTCTCTGTGTCCAAAAGCACACCACAGGTTTCACCAGGATTTTAATGATTTTTAGAGACAATTTCTGCTGAAAATCTGCCCTTGACCACGAAGGCAGATGAACCCAACTTTGAACTAGGCTCTCTTCATTTTAAAATGCTGTGCAAAGACGTGAAAGAGTTTAACAACTACTTATCTACTGTGGCTTTCAGATGAAATTTTATTTTTTTAAGATAATAAATAAATACCCAGCTTATCTTTGTATCAGCTGTGCATCTTCTAACTGGTTTTAATCTACTGAGTCAGAGTTTACAAGTTCCTTCTCCTCACAGACAAGGGGAAAAGCAGCTTTCAGCAAATCTGTGTGTTGGAAAATTCTCTGTGCTTGCACTCTGCACGTAGGACAAGTTTATTGCTGGCATGCTTCACAAAATGCCCCAGAGTTCACAGACTCCACTGCATTTTAGAGGGAATTTGGGGAGAAAAATGAACATAAAACTTTGAAAGGTCTCATTCAGCAAAATCTAATTCAGCTGTTCACCTAGACATTAAACTTGGAAGAGAAAATTCATATGGTCCAAGCCTCAGAAAACTCAGGATTATTTGCTATGGAGCTCCTTAAAGATCAAATTTATTCTAGATAAAAATTATTCCAGAACAGCACCAAACTGTTCAAGGAGGCAGTAAGAACATTTATACTGAAAAAAGTTATTTTTCTCCAGATTGTCCCTGAGTTGTTAAACTGAATTTGCTCCTTGTGAAGAAAAGTCACCTTTGGCTATGTAAATATCCACCTGAAGTGAGGAGTCTGATGAAGCTACACTAGATTTGACACTGACACACCCATGTAGTTTGGAGCAGACAGAAGGAAAAAGAACCTTGAAGGAAAATAGGAAAATAAGCAATCGAGAGGGGATCATCCACTTGCTGAAGCAGAATTGGCATTAATCTCATTCATACTGATTTGGATTTCTTGAACTCTTTCTGGACATTTGCTTGGTCTTGACCAGGAAATAATTAAAAAAAACCACAAAAAATATGTTAAGCACTGAAAAATTCTTCTTTGAAATAGAAGGATTTTTTTCAGTGTTTTCAGTTTTCAAATCTTGATTTAAAATTACGGCTTTAAAAATACTGTTAGACCTTTTCCCCTGCAAGGCTCCTCTCCCCAGTGTTTCATCATGGTGTTAAATTCTTTCCTCTGAACTGGAAGCTTTTCATTAATTATTTTTCTTTTAAATTATTTTTTATATTCTTAAGGTCCTTTATTTTAAATTTATTTCTATTTATTTATATTAGATTTTTTAGAGGATTTTTTTTTCCACTGAGTTACAGTACAAAGCCTCTGTTCCATCCCTGACTCATCAGGGATGTTCTGCTGCTGTTCCCAGTGCTGGTGACCTCCTACCCTACAGCAGCTGATTTTCTACCATGGAAAACCCCAGTGACACTAAAACCCACTGGTGTGGGAGCTCCTGTGTGGAACCCCAAAGGATCTGTGAGCCTGGGCTCACTCCCACTGCAGACAGAGCCACAACCACCCCTAAAGGCTGGCAGAAAGCAGCACTGGACAGAGTAAATAGAGCACAATTCCTTTCATTTTTGGGAATGCTCTGTGTTATTGTTGGAGAGGCAAGGGAGAGTCGCATGCTCAAAGCACTCAAAAGGCTCCAGTGTTTGTTGGATTCAACCCAGCCAAAAGGTTATGAGTAAGGTCTGGAAAATTATAAAAATGAAAATCAAAGACTCCCAAGCTTTGGCATGCCTTCCCAGCAAGGAAGGGAGCTGTTCTTGTGGATTCTATCCGTGGTTTAAGTCTTCCTGTCCGTGTAGTAAGTCTTGTTTCATTTGCTGAATGGCAAACCCAAGGAGAAACAGAGTTGTGAAGCTTTTCAGCTGTTCTGAGGTAATGGGAATAATGCATAAAGCAGATTCAACTGTATGAATAGTCTTTCACAATGTATTTATAATTATAAACAGAAGTTTCAAATATCCTCCCCTCCTGCACAGCATCCCCAGGGAAATACATTCCAGGGTAAAACATTCATAAATTACTTACTGTGTGTCTTCTGAAGATTCCTGTTTTATCTTTAATGTTCTTTTCGTGGTAGGCATTTCATCTGAAAGGTAAAATTCCAGCACATAATTAGATTTTAAATAATGTTCTTAGGGTTTTGGTTTTTTCTTTAAAAAAAAGGTTGAAATTAAATAAAAAAGAAATGTGAGCTGCTTCCTAAGCCAGGGAGTCTTAGGGTTTTGGTTTTTTCTTTAAAAAAAAGGTTGAAATTAAATAAAAAAGAAATGTGAGCTGCTTCCTAAGCCAGGAGTTTTACATGAGACAGCTCCAGCTCCTACACCCTCTGTAACTGATTGGGTTTTTATTTAACCTGGAAGAGGTAGGGTCAGTTAAGATCTAAATCTCACTTGTCACTTTCGTGGACAAGTCTCCAATCCCTCCTATTAAATCACACATTGACAGAATTGCAAACTACATTGTTTCAAGGGAAAAAAAAAATAAGAAAAAGCAATTTTTCTACCATTTCAAGAGGAAGCAGCAGTAGAACTGCATCTGTGTTCAATTCAGACGTTGTGTGCCAAGTGCTTTGCTCACAACTTTTGAGCGTGAAGGGCATCGTCAGCCCAGGCGCACGCAAACGTCCCCGAAACTGGTGACAAACCAGGAGATCCCAGCTTGACTCACCAAAAGGAGCCACACCAGACAGAATTAGCCATCATTTACATACGTTTTGTAACGTTTTTTTTCTCCCCACTGTTTCTCTCCCACATATTTCTGACTTTTAAATCCCCCAGGGAAGGAGTCTGAGGAGCTGGAATGCGGTTAACAGCCAACTTGCAAATTTTAACATTAAACTGCGATCTAAGGCTCTTTCAAAGCGTCCTGACTCACCAGTCCCCCAAACACAGATGTGTACAGATACCCAACTGTGTCTCCTCTCCCTCTTTCATCCTACAAATGGGGAAAAAAAAGCCTGTATACAATTCACCTTCTTCACCTGCATCTCCATTGTATCTGATCAACTTAAAGCTTCTGCTGTGGAAAAAACCAAGGCAAGGGAGGAACACACCTGTAAGAGCAGGAGCTTGAGAGAAATAAGCCTCAAGAAACCCACTTCTTCCCAGAACTGTTCAGTCTGGAGTGTGTTTTCTATCAGGGATGTGTTTAACAAAGTTCAAAAAGCCAGGAGCAACAACTAAACTTCCAAATTATTTAAAATATTGACTTTTAGGCAGAGACAGCAATAATTCAGGTAAGAAAAGCATGTGGAGGAGTTTGGTTTAGGTCTCAAACAACAAATGTGAGCTTGCTTGCTATTTTTTCATTTAAAAAACCACACCTCTGGATATAAATATATTGACATATTTAATATCAATATGTCGAGGTAAATTAGAAAGAGCAACATTTTTTACAGTTGTTGGTGTTGAAAGCTGAAGCCATGCTCACATTTTAACAACTGGTGTTTGAATGGTAACACCCAGGTACCACTGAAAGGGAAAGTATCTCCAAAATCCCATCAGGGAAGGTAAAACTGTGAAAGGAGAGACAGGGAAGGTGCCACCTCTACTGTCTCTGGCCAAACAGCCCTTCTTTCCTCCAGTCCTATCCTAAAATATTTCAAGAACCATGGTTTGCTTTTGACTAATTGAGGAATTTCTGTCCCTTTTCTCCCCAGGGATGTGTTTAACATTGTGAGCACTTTCTGTCCCAGAGGTGATAGCTGGTACAGAGATGTGTGTGCCTGACAGCTACGAGCACAGGTAAAATCCAAGCACGGAGATGTGCCCAGATGGGATTTCTTACCCAATTCCTGCTCGCCAGTCTGGTAGCAGTGAAGATCCTGACTGTGGTTTCCCCAGTCCTCCTGAGAGTATTCCTCCATGGTGCTGCCATCCGACTCCAGCTCCTGGTACAAGCCACTGCTGTTGATGAGCACAGGCTGGCAGGGCTGGGAGTCCCATCCTCCCTGCCCAAACACCTGCTCCAGCTGTTCAAACGTGTAGCTGCTTTTCCTCTTGCCAACGCCGTGCTCCTTCACGCGGCTGTAGCACCTGCGGAGGGTCTGGGAGAGAGAAGCGGCTCAGTCAGGGGGTGTGGGGCTGGATGAGCACACAGGCACTCACACACACAGTCACACAGGCAGAGTTTAGGGCTTTGGGGGTTATTTCTCTTGGTCATATTTGCCCCACGCTCATGAGCAATGCTCCCAAATTAATCCACACCCACCAGGAAGCATCATATACATCTGACATTCCCGCTTAGCGTTAACATCTATGACACAGGACAAGTTGTGTAGCAGCTACAGATTCCTCAGATTTAACTTGGGTGACTTATTCTCTTTCCCACTTAAAAAAATAAATAAATAAAATCCCTGGATCTCCTATGGATGCAGGGAAAAAATACAATAAAAATACCAAGAGCCCCCCAGTCAGAGACACCAATCAGCCAGGAAAATGCACACCTACTATGAGGAGGAGAAAGCAGAGGTGGTGTTGTGCCCACAGCTTGGAGAGGGGGAAGCAGGGAGGAGAGAGAAAGGAAAACAGAAAGACTTCCCCCAAAAGCAAAGACAGTCCAACCTTCCTTACTCTGGTAAGAAGACACAAGGTACAAAATGGATATGCCTAAGCTATTCAGCTAGGAAAATATTTATTACTTACATATTTTTGCATTCCTTACTAACTCACTCTGTCTCTTGTGAAGCTGCTGAAATTTAAAAGAGGTCAAATCAATAATGCTCCCAGTTCCCAGACTTTGATATCAAGCATCAAGTAAGTAACAGCACTGAGGTGGCTTGGTATGAGCAGCCTCTCAAACAGAGCTGGGGCAAAACCTCCCACACAGGTGCCAAAGCCTCATCCAGCTCTGGTGATCCTTTTGACATCCCACATCAAGGACTGAGCCACTTCATTGCTGCTGGATAAGCCTATGGTTCCATCCATTATTTCCCCCTAATCTGGAGCAAAAGACAACTACCTGGGGGTAAAAAAACTAAAGCTTTCGACACAGCCCTCAGTGTGGTTTTAATTCTATCACGGCTCTGATTTTGAGAGATAATGATATGCCCCAGGTTTGCTGGGTCTTTTTTTCAGATTGGTAAACTGCTAGAAAGCATTAGCTTTTTAAAAATTAAGTTTATCAGATTGCTGAGGTTCTAACTTGAATGGCAAAGCTGTCTCTGGAATTCAAGAGAGGCATTAATTTGGGAAGGACTAGTCCTGCTCCCTTGCTTTCTGCAGGAGGACTGTAATGGACACATCATTACAAAAACTACTTGTTTTTTACCCCCCAAAGAAAGGAACTTTTAAAACTCCAGAAAGCTGGAACCTACCTAATGCTCCTCACACACTGGTTTAACAGCATCAGCAGCAAAGGGATACATTTCTAACCAGTTTCCTCCTGAGATTCAGAGCCCTGGGGGCAGAAGCAAAACCGCTAAGCAGCAAGTCAGTATTACCCTGCTGTTTTAAACAAAAACACACAAAAATAACACAAAATAAAAAATAACCCAAATAAACACACAGGCAGCAACAGGCATGAGTTAGTCCACAGTTTAAGGTGGAACTCTTCCCACTTTTGCCATAACTACCTCAGGATCAACAGGCAGATCCTCTTTGCATGGACACCAGAAGAGTTTAATTTTCTGTGAGCAGAGTGGAAAACAAGCTGCTGTGGCAATCTAGAACCAAAACCCAGCCTAGAAACCTGTTGGTATTCACTGGTGCAGAGAGTTTCCTCAGGCTGGTGTATAGATACATTTGGTTGTTAGAATTCAGCTTTCTCGCTCCAATTTCTCTCCTTTCAGCTCAAATTTCACTGACAAATAAGGGCAAAGTCATTTCACTCCCAGATTCTTACTAAAATCCACCCAAGTCAGATTTTTTAAAATGTATTTCCCAAATCCCAGTTCTTGTACCTGCCCCAGCTTATCCATAGGAGTTAAACATGGATTTAGAGCCTCCAGCTGAATTTATTAGCAGCCTTCAAGCAAAACAAACTGTTTCCAAAGCATCCCTACGCTTGGCCAAGCCCTCTGGGAATGCCAGACACCCTTAGCCACTATTTTCACACCCTATTTTCAGTGTGTGCTTCAAACATCTCTCCCCACCAATGGGGTTATGGAGGATCCCACACTAGGTTTTAACCTAGTAGTAATTAATTATTTCAGTCAGGCTGCAATCTGGCATAATTTACTATCAAAATAATTTAGCATTAAGTCAAAGTGGACTAGTAGAAATATTAAAGGGAGCAACACAGGAAGGGGGATGAAAATAAACAAGCAATAGTGTGACTGCTCATTACTCTTAAAGGTCAAGATACTTTTGGGGGTAGTGCCCAGATGCTCACCTGGCTGTGTTACCTCCACTTCTGGAAGCAGACAACCTAAAATTTGAGGGAGATAATCTCAAATATAGGGCTTTCCAAAGCACCAACAGGCCTGTGGCTAAGCAGCTGGTGGCTCCTTGGTCTTGTGTGCTGGAGAATCAAGATTCTTGCCAGCTTTCTTCTTGGAGGCTCTCCCCAGTGTCTCCAACAGGCAGTCCCTACAACTTCACCTGATGTTCCCTCCAAATACCACGAGTCAGCCTTGTTTCTTGTAAGTCCACAGGCTTCTTTTCTTCAGAGAGCCTGGTAAGACCTAAATAATTGCTCAGACCTCAGGAAATCTGGGCATTTTATAATCCTTAACCTTTCTCTCACCAGGTTATTCTGATCTCCAAGATCTAAGATCTGGTCTTTTCTTACGCACCTCCTCTACTCCTCCCGGTGTCCAGCTCAACTCCTGCTCCGTGGTTCCTGAAGTGCACATACACATATTGATACAGATACAGAAAGCAGGAAATTTAGGACAAGTAACTGAAAACAGACCTGATCACTGCCCAGTGACTGCTCAGACTGGAAGAGACCGAGGCTTTTGCTTATTGTTCTGCAACACTGCCTGCAACACGAACACATATTATCCCCGCTTAATTTATAATTAGGAAAACCAAAGGAGGAGACAGTCACAAAGCTCAATGTGGATTTTCTCACCATTTCTAACTCACGAGTCCTCATCTCTACAAGTGAAGCCACCGAAGAACCTGGAGCTCTGCAGGAACTGCAGGATGAGGATGAGAAAAACCTTTAGGAAGGCTGCAGACATGGTCCTCCTTCCAGCAAAAAATAAGATGAGGGAGAACCAGACCACAGCAAGCTTTTTATATATAACCTGAGGTTGTCCAACATGGAATTCCAGATCCCTGATCTGAGACATGCTCTTACTCAGGGAGAAGCTATGGGCTCTGCAGAGCAGTTTGGTGGCCTGTGGCTGTGTCCACATTCATTTATGTTGATTCATTGAGAGCAGCCTAAAGGGGTCCTGATGTCCCAGAGTAGCACTTAGCACAACACTCAGCTTCAAAGATGCTCTTTTACTTAATGCAGAGGAGCTCTCAGCTTTATATCCTGAATTAAGAACAGCAGTGCCCAACAGCTCCCTCTCTCATCATGCCAGGATACTTACAGGAATCACAAGATGAAACTACACTGGGACAAAAGAAACAGCTTTTGAAGCATGCAGTGGTTGTAGGGGACAGTGAAAGGTCTTGAAGTCTCTGTTTTTAAGTTCCTGGGAGCAGAAGGTAACAAATCTATGCAATAGCTTCAGCACATGAACTTTTAGGTTAAAAGCTATGTGCAAGACTTACATGGGGTATTGCCTCAACAAGCCCCATTTCTGTGGTTTATCAAAAATAAAAGGAGAAAAGCAGCACCTCAAACTCTTGGGAGAGCCACACACCACTGCAAGAAGACAGCTGATGACATCAATGCATCTGGAGATGCATGAGGACCCAAACAGGAATACCCCTCTGCAGAACAGGAGAGCCCAGCACTCAAACAGGCCCCCAGGAGCTCAGGGTCACTCCCAGGAGCTGCCACAGCCCAGTCTGCAAAGGCACCAGCCCCACAGCTGGCTGCACATCTGCCTGAGCACAGCACTGGGGACACAGCACTGGGGACATGACTGTCACAGTGAATTGCTCTCTACATCAAAGAGCAAGGCCTTGGTTGTATCCTCATTTACCCAAACACACAAGGACCTCCTGAAGGATTTGGCTTTGGTACAGAAGAAAAGTGATGGGAAATGCTGAGGGGAGAAGGGTTGGGGGAGTAAATATAGACAAGTTGATTATCTTGATTTAGGTAAGAACCAGAGCTCTCTTTGGACAATGAAGAAGCAAAGTCACCCCGGCAGACACAGGTGGGGGATATCAGCCAAGGCAGGGCAGACATGGGTTTTTGCTAGGGAGAGCTGGAACCAAACAAAATTTCACAGCCACCACTGCCAATTTCTAAATCACAATTACATATAATACAAAAAAAAAAAAGCTCTTGCCTCACAGGAATTATTTACAGAAGCTCCAAAGCCAATTGCACAGGTCAGTCTCTGTGAGACAGACTTTGCCAGCAGCCAAGAGTGAACAAAGCTGGGGCTCAACAGGCCAGGTCCCATCAGGGTGAGGAAACCAGTGACGTGTGGTGCTGTGACAACAGACCCCACAGTGCTGTGGGCTCACATCTACAACCCATGAAGATGCTCCATTGGGTGCTGCTATGAGAATGCTGAGGATACCCAGACCCTTCTCAGGGATTTGTTGCTAATTGAGCCAGACCCCTAGAGAGGAGACTCCAGCACGGCCTGCAGAAAGGCTGGCAGCTGGGCACCTGTCTCTTGATGCTCTGAGCTCCTGCTTTTCTTAAACTGGATGAAAAGAATAGGAAGGAACTTGTTAGAGCTTGAGAAGGCAGAGAAGCACAACCCTCCTCCAGACCCACAAAGCCAATGACTTTGTAAACAGTTTAGCTGTAGTGGATGGTTCTCCAGACAGAGATCACCAAATCACAGAATATCCTGAGTTGTAAGGGACCCACAAGGAACATCCAGTCCAACTCCTGCCCTGCCCAGACACCCCAACAATCCCACCATGTGTCTGAGGGTGTTGTCCAAATGCTCCAGGAGCTCTTGCAGGGTCAGGGCCATGAGCATTCTCTGGGAAGCCTGTGGAGGTACTCGAGCACCCTCTGGGGAAGGAACCTTTTCCAGCCTAAATGGATGAGATGCCTGAGTAAGGTTCAACCTGCTCCTGGCATGACCTGTTCAAACATTACTTTGGAGCAATGAAAGCCACACCTGAGCAGGTTACCTTGCCTTTGGAAACAAGCTCATATCAAAAATCAAACCTAAAGTTGCATGCATCTACTGTGATCAGGACAAACATCATTATACCACTCACAAAAACCAGACTTTTAAGGAAAACCCAAACTGCAGCAGCCTGGATGAAAAGAGGTCTGAGATGCACTCAAGAAGCCACGTCTATGCAAGCCTAGAGAGACCACAGACTTAAACCCCAGCTGGTCCTCACTCTCAGGTGAAAGGAGCCACAAGCCCATCCAGCAGAGGAAGAGCAGCACAAATCACTCCATGGGTGAGATGGAAAACACTCCTCTCCAAAATGAGCTCCACTATAGTGGCAGAAAGCATCGACATGGGCAGTACCACAAGGGAAATGGTTTGTGTAGTTCAGAACCCTAAAACACTTGATATCCAACAGTGTCCCAGCCATGTGTCATCCTGTGGTCTCTAGAAGAAGTTTCACACCACTTCAGCTGTGCTGTGAAAACGTTACTGGGGAGACCAACCTCTAAATCCATCAGAAAAGCTGGAACTGAAATACCAAAAGTGGCTTGAACCCAAACTGTCACCTCTAGTGGTGAAAAGTTTGGTAACAGGTGAGACCACAGCAGTCTAGAAAGCACTGTCTGCTTGGCCCCAAATTGACACACTCAGCAAGAGGGAGGTAAGCAGGAATCTGCTCCTGTGACAGTGCTTGAAGCACAGTGCAACAATCAGGAGGATTTTTAACATCTTCCCAAGTCCTCCATAGTCAGAGAGCACTACAGGAAAAAATTGTGTGTGCCCATTCTAGGGTTTAATGTTCACAAATTTCCCTAAATGAGATTTAATGCTCAAGTTTCACAAATCTGTCCTCCTGCAATGAGTTCCTGACCATCAACTGTTTCTGTCTCAACAAGGTAACCTCCCAGCTCCCTCTGGGAATCATTCTGCACCTGGGGAACGAGCAGTGGATGGCCCAGGTTTCCTGGTATGATGGCCAGGATGGCCATGGCTGCAGAAGCCACTGGATCATAAAGACACTCATCCTGCATGTGCAATTCAAGCCAGACTCCTACCAGCACAACAGCACGCTGCAAATATCCTGGCTGAGAGCAAATCCAAGAGGGTTCTTTCCACATGACACTCATATCCCAGAAATGCTCCTCTGCCACAGCCCCACAAAGGATTGAAACAATTACATCTGCTCTTTTTCACTGAAGGGTTTACTTTTCCCAGCTATAAATGTCAAAAACTTGTGCTCCCACCTATTGGAGCACATGAGATCCTCCAGTGAGAAGCTGGGCTGCTGGGAAGGACCCAAGGAATGCCAAGAAACAGCCCAGCCTGGGAAACACTGACTCTATTTAAGCCAAGGGAAGAATGGGAGGTAACTTGAACACCTATGCACATCACAGCCTAGGGAATCAATGGGATAGGGAGCTGGGACTGAGATAAACCACATTCAAAAGAAATAGAAACTCAGAGTCATGCATTTGGGTTGGGAGTGACCTTAAAGCTCATTTTGTTCCAACCTCCTGCCATGGGCAGGGACACCTTCCACTATCCCAGGCTGCTCCAAGCTCTGTCCAACCTGGCCTTGGATACATCTGGGGCAGTCACAGCTGCTCTGGGAAACCAATGCAAGGGCCTTAGCACCTTCACAGGAAAGAATTTTTTCCTAATATCCAATCTAGCCCTGCCCTGTCACTGGGAAGACATTCCCACTTGCTCTGCCACTCCAGGCCCTTGTAGAAAGTCCCTCTCCACCATTCTTGTCAGCTCAAATCAAAGGCAAAGCTGTTTTGAAGGTGGATGGTTGGCTAGTTGCTGTGAAATGCACCAATGCTCCATCATTTGACATCTTTGAGTCACAAAGACAGCCACTCCACTCATTGGACCCAAGGATGGAACTCTGGCTGAATCCCTCTAATGTCCAGCAGCTCACACTAAATCAAAGCAAGCATTGCTTCCAAGACAGGTTTGCTGGAGCAGCTTTTCCTGCCTTAAAAAACAACTCCATGCAAGATTTACAGATTGTTTACATCACAGAGCAGCTAAAACCACAGCCCCCTTACAAACAAGCCCGTGCCACCATCAAGTTAGTGCTGCCTAAAGCAAGAAATACCAACAGCTGATAGTCAGGTGTGGTTTTTCATCCTTTCCCACTTCATGTGGGTTTGTGGCACTCCCATCTACTCTTTGTTCTTTCTGAGCACTGAACCAGCATCTTCAAGATATTTATTTTCCTTTTGAAAACCAAATTACTTTTGTGGTTAACCACAACCCAGCCAAAACCTCCAGTCACCCATCTGGGGCGGGGAGGAGGAGGAGGAAGCTGCTGCACACAGAAAAACCAACAACAGAGGAACTGGATTGGCAGTGATACTTGGGAATTCCTGCAGTCAGGAGTTAAGATGTTGGAACTGCTTCTCTTTGAATCAATGGGCTGGCATTGACTCTGGGGAAGGCAAAATAAAAGCAGAACTCACATTTCTGCAGTAGCTGAAGAAATGACATTTTAAAAACGCCTCCAAATTAGTTTTAACAGCAACTTCTAAGAAGGGATTTGTCTCTGCTGGGGAAAGGCTCTCCAGCTGCACCCGCAGCCAGAGGACTTCCAGCTCTGCACTGCTCTCTCAGCCCAGCTGAGCAATGTGCCATCAGAAGGACGAGTCTTTGATTCCATCTTCCATACAGATGCCAAGAAGAGAAGCAGAAAATCTCCCACGGGCTTAAAAAAAAGGCCTATAATCTGGTATTGAAGAAACAATTGGAGCCCATTATTTCAAGAACATTCCTTTAAAACAAAATGAGCCTTTACTGCCTGAAAACACCCCTTGACTCTCACAGCTCCGACTGCAGCACCTGAGCTCACCTGAGCTTTCCCAGAGCATCCCTGTCACTGCAGCCACCTCAGGGGACTGGAAGAGGATGAAACAAAGGTCCAGCACACCTATGGAACATGTTCCATGTACCCCATGGGCTGTCATCACCAAGCTGTGTGGCCTTCACACAACAGCTTCACAGCTCAAGGCAAGGGCTCATTTTGCCATGCTTAAATTCCCAGCAAACCTCCTGCTGCTTGGTTGAAACAGCATCACCCAGTGCAGGACACAGGATCCTGGCACGGCTGGAAAGGGTTTGGCCAAATAATCCATCACCTGCCTTAAAATCCCAGCTCCAAGGTCAAACCTGAAAACAAAAAGCTCTCCATGTGCTGCTGTGGGAAGGCGATGAGTTCCAGGATAGAAAACCAGGCTAAATCCTTGCTCAGGAACATAGGGAATAGTAAAGGTGCTGGATGAAAAGAGCAGTGTCACTGAACAAGCAAGGATTAAGGATAGAACGTGACTTGTCAGGATGAGGATGCTATGGCACACAAGACAGCTTTTCTGGGAGTGCAACAGGCAGAAATTAAGATGTTCCATCCTTCCTGTAGCTCCCAGCTGCGGAGCTCCCCAAGCTAGCAACCTCAGAGCCACCAAGCGGGACTCAAAGTCTCTTTCCAAAGGAAAAGCTGCTGGAATAGTTACATGTGAATCCCTAAATTTGAAACAGATCCTTTCAGAGCGGCTCCAACCTGACAGCAGCCCCATTCCAGCTGCTGATGTGCAGAAAAACACATGCAGATGGTGAGAGACAGGCAAAAATCTGCATTAGGACCCTTCTGCACACCCTGTCTGAATTAAGAGAGAATGCATCCATGCCATACAACTGGAAAAACCTCTGCTTACAAGCTGACTTGCTCCTTTCCAGC